ATCCTGCGCATGCGTGGAAGCGCAGAATTCGTCAAAACCGGGTAAGGAGCGGGCGTGGGTGCGCGGGCGCACGCGGGTGGGCCCTTCACCGTTCCCGGAAGTTACTTACTTCCGGGTTCGGCGACCAACCGGTTCGCAGGGACCGCCGCGAACCGGTTGAAACCCACCCCTGACTAGAAGACCTCCAAGGTCCCTTTCAACTCTGTCATTCTGTTATTCAATATGCTTGGGTGTGCCAGTACTTTGACTGTTTGTGCATCCAGCCCTTTTGCGATGGAGCTGAGGGGGGTTAACTATGGGAAGAGCCGCAAGGATTTAGCTTGACCAGCCCCTTCTTTAGCTTTCTTGGTTTCTCTTCTCATTAGAACAGCATTGCTCTGGCCTCCATTCAGCTGCCTCTGGGCCTCTTCTCCCCACCAGTTCCCCACCAGCCCATGCCCATCACGTGTAAGCTTCAGTTCCTGGTGTTCCGCAATGGGAAACTCTTCTGCAGCACTGGAAATTCTTCGCACCTCGCTGATGATGGCAAGCGACGCAGCGTGGCCACTCCAGTGGTCTATGCAAGCACACGTAAGAGACCCCGGTTGTGGGGGACATTAGCCCACTGCAGGAAGGAACTGTATGGCTGGCAGCTTCATTAGGAAACTTGGGACCCTGGCATAGAGGTGCTTATAAGACAGCTGCTGTGGGATGGATTGCCTGGGAACAAAGCAGCTGGCAGAATTAGTGGGGCCAGTCTGGGAATTCTTGTCTACCGGAAGGTGAATGTCTATGGAGATTCTCAATCATCCATGTCATGGTTGTTCCAAAGGTGCTTTTCCAAAAGGCAATAATTATAAACACTATATGCTTAGAGCCCAAAGCATTGTTAGAGACCCCAAACACCTAACTTCACAGACTGTTTCTCTTGCCCCACTCCGAGAGGAGGTTTTGAAGTATCTCGCAGGGCTACTAGATTCTGTAACAGCTTTGTTCCATCTGTCTTGTAAATTTGCAAGAATTGTTTTGGCCATGTACATGTATACATTCCAACTAGACTCTGATGTTTCTCTGGGTCACATGTGTGTGTATATGCATAAAGGTTATCTTTTGAGACTGAATGCAAAAAAAAAAAAATCATAATGTATGCTGATTAGAGTACATTTAAAGTGACAATAAAGTTTCCATCCCATTCTATTCTCTTGTTTTTTTTCCCCTTGGCAACGTTTTATTCTTCAGAACTGAAGATGCTTCTTGGATGAGAAGCTAAACGTTTTCAAGGAAAGGAACAAGAAAATCCAGTTGCCTTTTGGAAAAGCACCTTTGGGACCACCAAAAGGGGGTAGCAAGGTGGAGATAGAGCCGAGGTGGCGCAGTGGTTAAATGCAGCACTGCAGGCTACTTCAGCTGACTGTAGTTCTGCAGTTCGGCTGTTCAAATCTCACCGGCTCAAGGTCGACTCAGCCTTCCATCCTTCCGAGGTGGGTAGAATGACGCTCCGGATTGATGTTGGGGGC